TCTACTTGATTAGAGTGGGAACTCTCAGATCTTAGAAGACTCAGTTTTAGTCTCAGATTCAGATTTTGACTTGGGCGGGGTTTGTTTGAGTGTCAAGTTTTCATTGATGCTTCAACAAGAATCTCTTAGTTTTTCCGATGACAGTTGGGTTGAACAATGAATTGATTGAACATGCACAATGATTTATGATACGAAATGAAATGAATAAAAAAATATGTTGTGCTGAGAAAAGAATGAATTGGACGGCGATTTGTAGCAAAATGACAAATTTCAGAAGACATTCACAAAAATTCCCAATGATGAGTTCATACAATCGTATGTTAGTGCATCGTGTTGCAGCGTTTTTTGGTCTAGATCACAACGTCGATCAAAACGGCACAGCTGTTGTTGTGAATAAAACGAAACAGACAAGAGTGTTCGTTGATTGTTTATTAAATTCATTATCACTACACACATTACTACTACTATTCTTGTGTATTAATTCAGAAAAATGGTGTGCATTTGTTTAATAATATTGTCTTTTACAGACCTGATATAGAATTTTCATCACTGATCCGTAATAATATATTCACTGATGAACCACGCAGATATCTTAAAAGAGATGTACAAAGTTTTGACGAGGTGAGATTTTGTTAATTATTAGTGATTTAAAACAATTCATCGTTTTGTTATTGTTGAAGATCATTTCAATTAGGTTTCGATTGTTTTGTAATGCAGTGTGATTATTATTGTGTGAGTACGTCATGGAGATTACTATTTCTTTTGTAATTAAGAGAGTCAATTTAGGGTCGTGAATGCTTGAATGAAGAATTATTATTCAACCGACGTGCGCATTCATTCGAAATTGGTGACTGCAGAGAGCGGATGATATCGAATGTGAAATCTCAGTTACCTTATAATAGTAACCAATTGCATATCAATCTATACAAACAATACGATTCATCTTCTGCAGATGCTATTAATAACCAAGTAGGATTTATTTTATTATTGTTAAACATAACTCTATCATTATCCTTGCGTTTACTTCATGTTGTTTGTTTT